AGTTTGCTGCTCTCCCCATGCGCCAAGGCCGGAGAAGTTAGCGATCAGGGGGGGCAGATCGCTGCGTTATGCAACGTTCAGCCCAAGCGCCTCCTTATTGAATTCTGTTGTTCGACGACCTCACGGTTGGGCGAATCAAGAGACTCTTCAAAAGGTTGCCGTGTCATTCGGGTAACGGAAACCGAAGACGGGTGCTCCGATACGTGCAGGCAGTGGTTAGGCCGTGAAATCGCCGAGTTCAGGAGCAAGAATCCTAAGGGCGCAATCATGTTCTACGTCTCGTTGCCATGCACTGGAGGTTGCCCGTGGGGTTATGTCAACCAGCAAACTCCCAAAGGTGCTGCCAAGATTGAGGGCCACATCGAGCAATTCTGATCACTGTTGAGAGGGTTCAAACGCATTCTCAATGATGTTTATTCAAATGACATTAGAGTTGCTTTCGAACTCCCCAAGGCGTGTCGTTATTGGAAATGGCCTGAACTATGGAGTTTCTTAACTAAGTACAAGATGAACAAGTATGAATTCCATGGTTGAAAAATCGGCATCAAAGGGAGAAATGGAATGGGTCGTTGCCAGCAATATGCCCACTATTTCCGTTGCTGAGTACTTCAAATGTGATGGTTCTCACGAGCATGATGAAAGCCGTGGCACCCACTTGAAGGAAGCCGAGGGATACACGTACATTTACACTGATGCCGTTCACAATGCATTTTCCGAACATGCCACCATGCAGCCGTTGCTTTCGAGTGATTGTGCTGCATCGTTTTCGCAATGAGCGGCCTATATGGCGCATCCCGCGAGGGATTGCGATCCGGCATGGAGGCGGTGGATGGAGAATGTTGCTACCACATCGGTATGCACGAACGGCAAGTACGACGCTAACCTCGCCGCTACGGTCAAGGGCCTCCTGGAGACGACCTCTGCACAGTCGCTTATTCATACATGGGTGCAGGACCAACCGCATTATTTGCAGTTGCTTACACCCCTGTTAACTATAAGCGAACCTTATTTGAAGGTTGTGCAGGCCCCACGTGTACCAGATCGCGACCTCCTTATCTATTTGACAGTCGCTGACTCAGGACTTTCAATGGTTTCGGGCAAGAAGAAGAAGCTTCGCAAGTAGGACTTTGCAGAACGCTTGGATGCTTCTCGCCCGGCGTGTCGGTGCATGGAGGTCAGAAATGCTTTGGGGCAAGGGCTTACAACAGCTGTGCAAGCGCATGGCCGCCCGTATCGACGAGGTGCGTACGGACTACCCAACAGCGACCATCGTTCCGATGATTTATTGGAACGGCAATGAGCTTGTTGGGAAGGACGGCATTGAGCCCAGCGGTACCTACCCGTTCGACCACCCCGCCGGCGAGGCCAGTCAGTTGCTGGCAGACACCAAGAGGCACCTGGCTTGGACCAGGGATTTCGCGGCCCGCAAGGGCTGCGCATGCCTTGGAGTCATGACCGGCGCGAAAAGCTATCTCTACGGCTTCTCTATGATTTGGGACCGTTACATGACGGAAGTCCGGGATTACATCATCGGCGACCCCAATCATATGTTCGTGTACGTAGATGCTACACCCTTTGTCGAGACCATCGATTTGCTGGACAGGTATCATATGTGCTTCAGTGACGACAACATCACGAAGACCGTCCAGTTCATGCGCGGAACCCATCACATGTTGTATATGCTTTCTATCTTGCGCCCCGCAATGGGCAGCGTAGCCGAGCTGACACGTTCGCACGACTGTACCGTGCGTCCGATCGATGTGCTCGAGGTGCGCCACCAAGAAGATTGCACAGTCAACGTTGAGGTTCTCGCGTACTGCAAGGAGACGCTAACGAAGTGCGGTGTTTCTTTGTCAGAGATGATCGGGCTCCCTTTCACCCGTGAAGAAGTGGAAGTCCGGCAGCCTCTCGATTTCGCCCCCGTCAACCCAGCCGAGTTTGCAACTTCAGGTGAGCCTTCCGGTGCAGATGTTTCCGAAAGTGTTCGCCCGGCGCAAGCCGGTGCAAAGGCGGCTGCGGTGGCAAAGAGGGACGAGGCGGCGAGCAGGCCGGTACCACTCGACTCCTACGGGAGGAGCGTGACTGGGGGCCACTATGACTGCTGGGTGTATAGCATTCATGATGGCGTGAAGTATGTCGACTACGGTGAGGGCCCCAAGAGACTCGACATCATCAAGCAGCCCTCTTTCGATTACGACCCTTCCGTCAGGAGAATCAGTGACGAATACCACCGTTCCCTGACGTGCATCTCCAAGATCCTCCGTGGTCGTGGAACAGAAGGATGCGGGTATGTGATGGATGAGGACGGCTACATGGACCTCGAAGACCTGGGACTCGCGCTTCGCAAGGAGCTGCGACATCCCATTCCATGGAATATTCAGAATATCATGGATATCTTCAAGCTGGACAAGAAGCAGAGGTTCATTGGCCTTGGTTGCCCGGACGCAAGCCGGTGCGGAGACGTCCCATGTTCTCATTGGCTTTTCAAGCTGAAGGCCTCTCAAGGCCATGAGGACTGGCTCCAGATCGACGACTCCGGCATCGCGAAGGAGTGGTACGTGAACCCGGGGACTGACCTCGGGCGCTGGTCTGGCTGGAACGTTTGCAGCAACCCTCCAACTGTGCTTTATCACCGCACTGATAAGCGAAATTTCGCTAACATCATGCGGAACGGTCTGCTGCCAGGAGGAGGGGACCAGCACGAGACAGGACGACCTCACGTTTTCTTCGCTGACGTCCCCAGCACGAATGAAAATTACATCTCAGGTGTACGTGCGAACAAACCCCTGGAGATACAGATCGACCTCAGAATGGCCATTCGCGCAGGGCTTTGCTTTTTCAAGACGGAGAGCGACGGCGTCCTTACGCGCGACAAGGTGCCCAACTACACGATTATTTCTGTATTGGACGCTACAAATGGCGATGTATGGTACACTCGCTCCGAGCAATCGGATGCAGGTGCACCAGCTGAGGCGACTGAGGATGAACCCCAGGGAATGAGGCGCGACCAAGCCGTGGTTGATGATCGTTCAACAGCGCTGGAACGTATTGCTACAACGCGCACAAATGTGGCCTCTCCTCGCGCCCTGCAAGGGGAAGCGAAGAGACAGAAGACTTTCAACCCAATGGAGAACGTTGAGCTGAACGTCGCCACGTGCCCGGTTTGCAACAACAGTGTATTCGAGGGGCAGGTGCACTGCTCATCATGTGGGCAGTTGTCTCCCCTCAATCCACGCCTGTTGAAAGAGCAACAGAAGAATTACATCGTGCAGCGTTCCAATCTGCTGAAGAAGATGGGCCTCAGCACCCACGTCACAGCTCAGGTCCTGGCATCTGTGGGAACATTTGACCTCCGCGGAGGATCGTAGCAGCATCATTCGTGGCTTGAACTCCCCGGACAGTGCTGTCATTCAGGAGGCACGGAAGAAGCTCAAGTCCGCCCTGAAGAACGGCTACCACTGTCTGCTTGACCGCTATGAACTCGACCTTCAATACAGGGTTCGTATGCTTGAGGTGGGCCGTCGGGAGGCGGACATGCTCCGCATGGAGTTGAGCGCAAATCTCGTCTTGGCTGCTCCAAAGCAGTCGCAAGCCCAGCGCACTCTGGGAGTTGGCCTTGGATCAACTTCGGAGTCGCGAATCGCAAGGCTCGCGTATATCAAGACAGAGTTGGAGTTCCTGCCCAACGAACTCCAAGATGCGCTTTCCTCTCGCTGGATCATAATGTTCCAAGGGATGCCTTATAGCCCGAGAGCTTTCATCAACGTGGTTTTTGAGCAAGACAAGCCTCGCAGCATCGGTTGTTGGAATGGCATCATCCATCTGCGAAGCAACACGTTGGACGACCTCCGCAACGAGATGGACTGGATTTTCAGCCAGAATGAGCGGTATGCACGTAACTCGATTGAATTTTCGAGGAACGAGAGCAGCAAACACCTTGCTCGCAATGCAGCTCGCTATGCCGAGACAAGTGCTCCCGCCGCCCGCGAGGGTGAGCATTGGAGCCAAGGCAGCTGGCAGAATTGGTCCGGATGGAGCGGATGGGGCAACAGTAGCGGTAACTATTCGACTTGGCAGTGGCGCTGAAAGCGCAACTGTCATGGTTTGCACGTAACAATGGTTCCCCTGACCTTCTCCCTCTGTTGTGTTACTGTTTGGCTGCTTTGTGAAAGGCCCCTTTAACACGCAGAGGGGGGTGAAGAATTTGATCGGTCAGTATGGGGTTTTACATCCATTGCATCCGCAGTGTGGCTGTTCAAGCGTGAAAATGTGCGAGCAGCGCACTTGGACAGTTTGTTGTTTCCTTTTGGGCCCCAAACCGGTAACCCTTGAATCTATACTAACTCTTTACCACCAACTTACCTGTTTCTTTTATTGGAGGCAAGCCCTAATGCATACATATGTCTCCAAGACTTGAGGGCTGTGGTTTGGTAGTGGAAAACCGGTTTGGCAGCAGCAAGCTTATAGAAACTCCACGATCGGGATATTCTGAATCCAAGGTGGGTACGTCTCCGAATGGAGGACCACAAACTCAACGAAACACACACCCTGCTTGACTCTGACTTTAATGGGCGCCTGCAAAGGAACTCCTGTTGAATTTGTTGATGCTACATGCTCACATTGGCCATTATTGAAAAATTGACAGCAGCACCTCCAAAACGTGCCGCTACAATTGTCGGGGAAACTCTCTGAACACTCAAACCGCTCCAAAGATGACGCACCCTCAAACAAATGGTGGTGGTGTCTCTCGTTTCCCTTTAAATTTCAACACCACGAACTCACAAGGGGTTACTGACCGAGATACTCACCAAATTGCCACACCCATTTCCCAAAGTTTTTTGGGGGGGCCCTAAAAAGCAACCCCATATGGAAGGGGCGGGTAATTATTCCATTAGTTGAGAGCCCTAGGGCTCCTGAATATTCCTTGGGGTTTTTTGAGGGTTCCCTTTAGGGAGCCTTAGGGAACCCATCTCCTCGTCTTGTTCGTATCTCCAGTCCACTCACCACGCCTCGCGGAAGGTGGCGAGACCGGAGCCCCGGAACATGGCGCCCCACTCCTCGATCCAAGTCATCGGTTATAAACCAACAAAAACGCGTGAAGTCCCCATGGCTGGTGTGCTATTGTTTGAGGGGAGCCCCTAAAAACACTGCTTCCACACCAGCCATGGCTTTTTTGTTTGAGGGGGAGCCCCTAAAAAGTGATGTCGTTTTTTTTCCTTCTTGGCTTCCCTAAACCAAACAGTACAAAAAAAACCAAGTCAACGTTCGAGCATAAACCCCGTAGGCAGGTGTGATGGAATCCTTAAGGGTGGTCCAAGAAAAAAGGGGTTCCCCAACGCTCCCTAAGGAATCCTCGGGCTCTCAACTACCCACCCCTTCCATAAGGGTGCGTCACCTTCCTAGCAAACCGCAAAACAAAAACTGGTGTTCCCTTCAAAACCAACCAAAAAGAGTGCCCTCAAAAACAGGACAGACCCGGATCAACGTTCAAGCACAAACCTAGGAATTAATTACATCTTGAATTTCATCCTACCTGGGAGATTCTCAGCGTTGATCCGGGTGTTTCTCAAATTGAGGCGGGGGGGCCTATAGTTGAATTTCTTCAGGTGTCCCTTTGAACCCGTCCAACAGAATTGTCCACCTTTTAGAGACACCGCCATGGGACCATCTTTAATCCCAGTTGGAGCAACTATCTGGGCTGGGTGTGACGTGAGTTGTGAGTGGCAGACAAAAACAATTTAACTTCAGGAAGGGGTCAGTGGGCAAAATAGAAGTTACCCTAAACGGCCTTGGACAACTTCCCATTGCGGGAAAATTCGTAAGTCACCCCTTATGCCTTAATTCAAAACTTGGTCTCTATCTCTGTGGGTGAGAAAATTGCCAGCTGAATGGTGCCTGGACTATGCAACTACTCATGTCTGAGTTCATGTTGGAAAACCTGCTTGACTTCATGCCAAGACCCTTCAAAGGGAAACACAGTCTAAGTCACAAATTCGGGCCGCGATCCAAATAGCGGCGCTTGGTATGCGCCCAGCGCAGCCCAGACACGGAATTCATCATCATGTCAGCATACATCAAACATTGGTCCCGCGAGTTGCAGCAAACCCACGCTTAGGTCGAGCCACGCAGGAAGTAAGTTGGAAAACAATACAGTGCCGTGCAAATAGTTGGCTGACAGTCGGCTCATGCCTGCCCCAAAATGCAAGCAGAGGTTCAACAGCTTGGGGGTCCACAAGCATCGCAAACAAATCTAGAGCCAAAGGCGAGTTTCTTCTGCGTTCCCTTTTTTCTCGCAAGAGTTTAAGCCATGCGAAATCGATGCAGCGACGGTTCATGTGATAGTCGCAATTCTGCAACCTACCTGGCACATGTAAGCAACATGTTGCTGTTGTTCGCAAACTGAAGCATTATCTTTTTTTGAGACCAGGCCATGTGTATAGGATAAATGGCGACGCTCAGACATTAGCTGTAAGTATCGCGATACATCACAAAGACATACACATTTCCGAGAGTGTGACTAGCAACATGCTGATGAAATCATAAATGTGCTCCACATGTTGGCTGCTCATAGGCCAAACCACTTGCTTATGCCGACTTGTCCAAGGTGATTCGTAAGAATGGTAGCTTATGAATCGCAGAGTCGTTCGGCATAGCTTCTATTCTTCGCGGAACACTCTTGGAGCGGTTCAGAGCGGTTCCACAAGGCGATATTGAACACGCTCGCCGAACGGTTCAGAACGGCTCAGCCAATTCAATTTTGCAAGCCTGCTGAACGGTTCAGAACCGTTCAGCAAAGCTTGCTGAACGGTTCAGAACGGTTCAGCAAAGTAAGTTTGCAAACCTGCTGAACGGTTCAGAACGGTTCAGGGCTTGCTCAAGCCACAGCAAAACACCTGAACGGTTCAGAACGGTTCAGAACGGTTCTGGAACTACTTATTTTTTCTCCTTCATGCTGCCCGAACGGTTCAGAACGGTTCAGAAAAGCACATTCGAACACTGCCTGAACGGTTCAGAACGGTTCAGGACATCCATTTTGTAGACTGCCTGAACGGTTCAGAACGGTTCAGGGAATCTATTTCGTACAATGCCCGAACAGTTCGGAACGGTTCAGGGGATCAATGGTTCTTGGAACTAACCAAGTACCGAATGACTTTGTGCCTGGGATACTGGACTCGCGCGCTAGGTTGCGTTGAAAATTCATTGAAGCGCGTAATCCATAGCAGCAAAGCCTCTGAACTGTTCAGAACCGTTCAGAACCGTTCAGGGGCATCAAATTAAAGAGAAAACCTCTGCGCGGAAACACGAACAGCCATTGCCGACTCTGGCGCCAACATAAAAAAGAGTCCTCTTCCAGCTGCGTGCGCTCGAGGTAGCTCAGAGGAGAATTTGTTGAACTAATTCCTGACGATTTTTGATTGCAGGCGGCATGGTTGAACTGGGCAGGATAATGCAGGCAGGTGTGCGCGCGCATCCTACCGAAACAAGTTCAAGCGCTTGACCGGCACTGTACATGTTCTGGAACAGCTCAGTTGCGCGTAGTTTAAGTATTGAGCCGTGATGTTGTCAAATAAACGGTGCAAGAACGCAGGTTGTAAGTAACGCTAACTAGAGCCGGCTCAGACATTTGTGCGCATCTTATGGCCGAGTGATTTTGTCTGTTCTCGTGTTTTCGTTTCAGGGATTGTTCCATCAGTATCATAAAGTAGCATGGAAACCAAATCACACATGCTTCTATGGACTGGACATTGATCACGCTGAATCCAGAGAACGCACATATACACGTATTAATTATTATGTGTCTGTATATATATATATATGTAATCGGGTTACTGTGGACCTGCGTTGGGACATACGCTGACTTGTCAGAGGCGGTGTGGTCAGTGAGCAAAAAAATGGAAGCTGCGCAGACCTCTTGCCACTGACATGAATGCCTGATTTGCGCGCGGCCGCTGCAATGAGTTGTGCGCTAGGTCAACTAATTTGCTTCAGCCTAGAAGTTAACAAACCAAAGATCTACTGACTAGACGCTGCCCTGTTTGTATGGCGCTGACTTTCTGAGCGAGCGTTCAGCCGCAACGTGTTGCGAGCCAAGACGCGTGCAAGCACTGCGGCGTAGAACCCCTTGTTGCTGAAGTAGCTGACGTGAAAAGCACAACGGCAACAAGGGAAATCTTGCTGAGGACTGAAGATGACACACACACACAAGCACTTGCCCGTTTACACTTTGCGCTGCTGGCAAGCACGGAAAATATGTGTGCGTGTGTGCACAGGTTTGCGGAGGAGCCTTGAGGTTGGCTTCAGGGTCAAGGCATGGATGATCGTTCAGGTCGGAAACAAACTCACACATGTTGGGTAGTGTACATGTTTCTATATATATATATACAAAAGAGAAATGCACAAACATATGTACACACACATGCCCAGCCAAGCATGTGTGTCTACCTATTTTACGCCCAAATCACTCAGACGCATGTCTTAAAAATTATCTGAGACGTATCACGGATAAGAACGGCAGGGCCAGTTGAGTAGTTGTAAGTTGCCCAGCGGCCTCGACAGCTATCTATTTACGCGCCGTTCAACGTTGGTCACACCATAACTAGTTTCGCCATCTTTGCGACGTCCGTTAGATTTGACAGAAACACCCCAATAAAGAGGCCAAGTTTTGAAATAACTTATGCCCCTCATTGCAATATGTGGACCAGGCTCCAGGTTAGTCTGGTGGGGGGGGGGTCGGTTTGGGGGGGACACAGTGTGGTGCCTGAAGGTGTGTGGTCCTGGAAGGGTCGGCAAAAATGTCCCCCCCTTGAGTTATGCCAATGTGGGATTTCCACCCGCAGAACAAAGGGAGAACATGGATACTACCCCATGTGCCGAACTTACACATCACTATCATGATGCGCAATCGTATTCCGGCCCCACATTTTTTCAGGGGAATCAACTTGGCATCATAACAACCTACACCCCGATTCTCCACCAGGCAAAGCATGCAATGCCCAACCACCTCCATGCCGCTTTGTAGAGTTTGAGTCAAAACAGCAAGTGTCCATGACCGCCAGGGTTGGGCAAAAAAAGTGTTTAAGTTTCAACAACCAGCCGCTGGTCCCCTGTCAAGGGAAACCACAAGAGGCTCTTTGATGTTTATCAAATGGCTCTGTCGTTTCTTGAGGGTACCCTTTTTCGTTGGTTTATTGCAGGGAAACCAAAAAAGAACACCACAGTGTCAGAGGGGTTCCCCTGAAAACAGGTGTTATATTGGTTCCCCTAAAAACAGGCACACAAATCGTTGCTTGGGCATGTTTTCTTTCACCAAAACATCCCGCAAGGTAGCGCCTAAATGCGCCCAAAAGCGCCCCTCCTGTGGCCCGATCTTCTGGTTCACGTTCAGGTCCAACACTCGAAAGGCGTCCGCCAAGCAGGTGTGCTTGCCCAGAAGCCTCGGTGCCGTCCCTTCAACTGGGATCTGACCCATTGACCCGTCCCGTAGGGCTCTAAGAGCTGGGGTCCTTATGCGATGCCAGCGAGCGGAAGGATTTTAGTTGAATTCGTTTGCCCTGGGGTTCAAACCAACATGAAAACAATGGGGGTTAGCAATAATAACCAGCATGATTTACCTAAGTTTCATCATCCAAATTGGGTCAACCATTCTTTCAACGGGGATTCAAACCACCATTAAACCAATGGGGGCTCATACAACCACCATGACTTACCTAAGTTTCATCATCCAAATTGTGTCCTTGCCATGAACCCCAGGGTTTATGGTGCCTCTGGAGCCCAAAGGAATCCCCAGTTTTTTGCAAATCATCCGGACCGTGCCGTAAAGCGAAACAAGCACAGGGATCGTACCAGGTGCCGAGCTCAGACTCTGAGTCAACCGAAGGCACACCCCTCGAATCCCAGGGGACGTTCCCATTCCGATGTTCAGCTTGCCGAGGGGGGCATGTGTCTGAATTCATCAAATGGGCCGTTGCTCCTTGTACCCTCATGCAGATTAATTTAGAACCCTCGTTTTGAAGCCGACTGTTGGGGAAGCGCCTTTTCCAAGGAATTGGAATCCATTTGTTGTTCAACCAACCGAAGACTAGAAATGAATTGCTCTTGGCTTTTCGAGGTAAACCATTCTAACAAAGTCATGTGTCGCGCAGCGCCCCTATCTTCCGCGCAAAAAAACACATCAAGCACAAAACTGAACAAACCCGCTGTATGTTCCCTCGGCTTCCTCCCCGTGCCCAAATAATAATATTAAAATAATATTAAAATAATAATAAAATAATAATAATAATAATGAACAAAAACATGCGCCAAACTTTCTCCGCAACAAACCGCCCGAGCCTCCGCCGGAACTTCCGGAGCGAGAAGTTGCACTCGTCGGTCAAAGGCGCCACCGGACCCCGGCGCGGGGCCGAGAACTCCAGGGTCTCCTCTGCCATTCGCCGCGTGCATCTCTCTCGTTTGGGGGGGGAGGTATCAAGGACACTGAAGGGGTCTATGGTGCCACCTCCTTCATTTGGGTTATTGTTGTTTAGGCTTCTTGGCTGCAACATAGCCAAGAAGGTGTTCATGGCATGGGGGTGGGGAACCTCCCTTTTGCTTGCTCAGTGACACAAAAAGGACACTGATTTCTGCTTTTTCTCTTGGTTAAGGCAACCCATTTCTTCTTGTCCTTTGCCTTCGTGGGTTGCCATTCTTGCCAATCTTTGCTTTGCGTCTGCGGTGGTTCTTGACCGAAACAGGGGCACAATACCTTCGGGTCGATGTTCGGGTCAATGCCTCCCTCAGATTGAGTGTTCAAGGGGCCTATGGTTCATGATTAAAGTGAGGCCCTGTTTTACAATGTATAATGCATGTATACTTTATTGTTTGCTTCACATGCAGCCACTGGTAAAATGTAAAATGTACCCTAAGTCTTCCGGGTTGATCTTTCAAGGGGATCAGTTCGAAGTGCCGCCCTGATCGACGACAGCAGCTCATCACAAAGGACCATCGTCTAGTAGGTCCTCCAGTAGAGAGGTTAGAATAAGGGTACCTTTTGTTTCTGTAGTCTATTTTAGTAGGGGAACCCTCCCCCCAAAAAAGATAATAAAACACTACTGGGGGACCTAGTCTAGTTGTTGCCCCACATTTTGCCCAAGGCCTGGTGCTCGATTCGATTCGGAGGGTGGCTTGCGAAGTATTGATGAAACCTGCCAACGAACAGGTGGCACACATAGAAGCCGGCTTGGGGCAAGATGCTTCGCCTCGACACTTTGAATCTAATCACATTTGAGTCACACTGAAAATCAGGTTCAAACAAAGTATACAGAGCATACCCGGTGAGCCAATATGGCGGCTGCACCCGTTGATTTCAACTGTCCCCGACCAACCAGTACCCAGGTTTTGATTGGGGGTCATTAGGTCAAATAGAATCAAACCAGAGGTTAACATTCTTGATCTTGCGGGTTATCCAAGGCTTATTCACCCAAGGCTGGATCGTGCAAAAGAGAACTCAAGAGCCAATCCACCCATCGAGAAGCTCAACTCAGGCTCAGCTCAAGGAGCCTTGCAACAAAAGCGTTTGAACGCGATAAGCGCGGTGCAATTGGTTCCCCCAAAGATACACACACGCAGAATCACAGAAAAAGAACAACATGTTCTGGCTAGAAACTGCAAGGATGAACTGATCTCACAGAAGCAACAGACTTTGCCAAGTCTGATGCGGGCGGCGCCTACGAACAGCAATCTTGTTCAGTAAGTTCTCATCAATTGAGGGAGCCAAACACATGCAATATCGAGGCCACGTGTGGCTGCGGCTAAAAAAAGGTACCCAAAATGGCATGTTGGACATGTGAACATGGACTAAAAGCTGCGTAACCTCTGTTTAAATTTAAGCCACATCCTTATATCCCTCCTGAACAGCGCCTTTGCGCAAATTGTGATAAATCTTCACAAACACCGCGCCTTCTTGTTTACGTCCTGCTCCATGGAGTTGATTTTGCTCACCAGGAAAGCGGCATTCTTCATACGGGTGAACCTCACATGACGGGCCAAGCTTGCCTGCGTCCCACGGATATTCGAAAATTGATTGAGTCTCCCGGTCTTTGATGGGAAATGCAGTGTCCCAAATGTCCCTCCAAAAGGGACCATGGACTGCTCGAACTTTTACCGAGCCACACATGCAACCGAGACACCTAAAATTGACAAGTAACTTCTTGGGCGGTCACAACTGTCAGAAACCCAGAAATATTCCAATCGCTTTGGGCAACAGGGGAAGCCAAAGCCTGACAGGGCCTATCTGGGCCTCTTTTTGGGGGCTATCCTTCTTAGACGAACCTAGGCAAGGCCTCGACTACAAACTTGCTTCCCTCAAAACACATGGGACGATTGGATGGCTCCCCTGGTTGTTGCGAGACATTTGAGCTGTGCCCCCTCATGGTCCTCCCCAAAGCAAGCTGTCAGTTGCTCTGATTCCCAGTTGCCCTTTGATAGCATGCTACTCCCGAAAACCTACGAGGCAACTGGCCCATGTGGCCCTCCAGCCGGCCGGGTAGTGCCTCAACCATTTGGGAAGGGATTCCCGGTAAAAGTCGTGTGTCGAGTGGCAATTCCCCTGTCAATTGGAGGCTCTACGAGCGTCTGGCGTACAACGTGCATTGGGAGAGTCAAGCCATGACATGGTCATGGCCTTGGGGTATTTTTTAGAGGAGACTCGTTTTTCTTTGTGTTCTTCTTCTTATTTTTCCGGCTGGGTTGAAAGAAAAGGCTTGGAATTTTGGGGTTCGGGAGCCCCCCCAGCCATCAGCACCCCCCCCCACCAAAACGGGACCTTGCCAAGTCGAGTCGCACGCGGGTTTGGCTCTCTTTGGGCTTCTCCGTGGAGTCCCAAACCTCGCTGACCATGGAGGACTCGTACTTGGTCTGCCCCACCACCTGTCGAACTGGGCAAACCAATTCTCCGGGTGTCTTTCGTCCAGGTTGGCTTGAGCCACACCCAAGGCTTTGATTCCCAAGTCCTCAAACGTGCTTAATTTGGAAGAAACTGAGCCAAACCATGGATGTATGGAGGGATATATCTCAGCGAAGGTTACCCTATGAAGGCTGTTGATCCCAAATCTCATACCCTCCTTTCCACAAACATGGAAACCACCAGAGGGTCACTTTAATGGAAAATGATTCTCCGGGTGCCCCTGTGCAGGCTGTATGCTTGTTTGAGGGTATGCAGCCCTAGGGTTCAACCCCCATTTCCAATGCCTAACCCAACTTGGATAATGACAATCTTTAGGTAAACCTGGTGGTTGGTTCTGAACCCAACCATTGTCTTGATAGGGACACGTCATGCCTGCAACTTATTTCTCCACTGATTCTGGGAGAGCTATCCCCGAACCGCCTCCCATACGCCCGCACAAACAGAGGGGTTGAATGCCATCCTAGAAAAACTGTCTGAACCCAACGATTTCATGGTGGCCACTGAACCCCCGGGACAAGTCATGCTTATTTCTCCACTGATTCTGTTCGATCGGAGAGGGTGGCAACTGAACCCCCGGCATTGTTCCAGATCGATCGGATATCTTTGATTGTTTTGAAAGAGCCCCCCGAACCGCTGCATCCAAGCAACTGAACCCCATGCAGGCATCTGTTGAGATCGATCGAATCGATGGATTCTTCGATTGAAGCCTCCTTGTCCCTGGTCTTAGTGCCGGCCACCTCGGGCGTCACGTAGAGAGGTTGCCTGCGGGGGCCGCTCTCCTGGCGTCTGAGAGGCGTGACACCGCAACAAAACTCGAACAAAAACCACCTGGACCCTCGAACTACCCATACAAGTTGGTAATTATTTGGTATTTGCCCCAAATTATAGGTGTCTTCCCATTTTCAGAGAGGTATTTTGAGGGGCCAGGTACTCGTTGTTGAAGGTCAGTTGTTGGGCCGAATATCTGCCAATTTTCTAGGACATGGACAAAACATCGGGGTTTGGGTTTCCCACCCAGACCTCCAGTGCCCATGGGAATGAACCATGAGAGACAAGGTGCATAAGTGCATAACCTTAAAGGACCCCACCCTCCAAAACAAGCACAGTTGAAAAAGAAAGCAACTCACAGGTCTGGGTGTCTCTCAGGTAGATTTGGCTGTGGCTCAAAAAAACGGTACCAAAATGGAACCCTGGTAAGTGGAAACATGGACCAAAACCTGCGTGACCCCTCCTGGTTAAGTTTGAGCCACACCCATTTCGGGGATCCCTAGCAGAAGACTTCAGGCTTGGGTTTCTACGGTGAATCTCGAATGTCTCCTGCTGCTTGTCGGAGTTGAAATTCAGCTCCCGCTTCAAGAGGTCGCTCATCTTCTTCACCTCCAAAGTTGGAGGGTTTAGGCTTGCCAGGGATCCATTTGAGAACTCCCCCAAAAAAGCCCGAAATGTTGGGTTCCATTACTTGCTGTTCATCAGTCCCTCTGCACAAAGTGAACAGTTTTTTTGTGGGTGCAACACGGAACATCCACTGTTTCAACCAAAAGGCTAAAGTCGAAAGATCCAACCAATTGGCCATAAAGATTCAAACTCAACTCATTGTTCGAGTTGGGGATGTTCAAGCCAACTCAGATGTTCGACGCGCTCAGGTCCTCCCACGAAACCTGATGTGTTGAAAAAGCCGTATCCCATCCCAGCAGCATACCACCGCAACAAATCCTGCACCAATTTTTCGATGGCTAAAGCCCCGTGAAAGCTGGGACACACCCTCAGTTGATCAGTGACCCTGGAAAAAAAAGGGAACCCTTTTTGGGGAAGACCATTTTGAGTGGGGCAGCCACCAAAAAAAAGGAAACATAATTGGTGCCACTGAACAACTGAGAACCCACCGGGTCTATCCACGGCACCGGGGATGGTTCGGACCTTCAGGTTGCCATGGCAACGAGGGCGTTGAGGCAACCGTGGATTCAGCTCGCGAGCAAAGGGAGGCGGATGGATGGTTCAGCCCAAAGACTACAGCGAATGCCAACAAAAACCGAGGTGTATATAGACATACTGTGACATACTATGTAAAACGTATGTTATACTCTCTTAAGTTGATTGAATATTTTAACAATGCCAGGTTCTTCAGCAAACACAGCCATCCAAGCGAGCAGTGGATGTGGATCCCCGTGCGGACGGCCGCTCTTTCCTGAACCCGGACAAACCAAGGAAAGAGAATGCACCAGCAGGCCTGTGTTTGATGCTGTAGGGTGTTGTTCTGAATTTCTGAATTCTTCCCCTTCCCCGCAATCGATCACAACATGACAATAAGCAAAACAAATGCATTAGGCAAACTCAGCCCGCCCCCTTCCGCCCGAAACAAGCAGCCGTTTGTGAATATGAATGAGTAGTGTGTACCCACATTCTGTCTTTCTTGCTGTTTCGCACGTTTTGGGGACGGGTTGTGACGTGAATATTGTGCTTCAGACCTTAGATTCTTCCCTCCGGCTGCCCCAGTAGATTCAGGCGAGCCTTGCTGTTGACGCTTTTGAGTGGGGAACCGCCGAACAAAGCAGCGCCGCTGCCCAAATGGGGGTTATAGCACGTCAACTGGGGGCAAAAGCAGGGTTTCCCACACGGTTCTCGTATGGATTCCCCCGGCTCCCAGTCCCAAAACTGGTGATTCGGATTCGGACCTTTCTTGCCCCTGAGGCACAATCAATGCTGGTGTTGAAGTGGTCTACCCAAATCCATGAAAAAGGGCGGCCGCGGCCGCCAGTGGACCATTGACAAGGTGACTCCTCCCCCCAATTACTCTCTTGCTATCAAAACTGGGAGTTAGACCCAACAACACATGTTGGTGTGTCCCGGTGTCCCTTTAAACCAACCGGAAAAGCCTGAAAACAACAACCGCATCCTTGCTGGTTCTCAGGGAATCAAAGGGGGTGTGTGCTTCAGTTTGAGGTCATTCCATTTCTAATTTCCTGCCTATCAAACTTGCAAGACTTGGGAGGGGGGGCTGAAAATAGTGGTCCCATGGTTGGTTTGTGGCTGTCATTTAAATACCAAGACCCAGAAAGTGACTAAAGTCCAAAGCAGAACTCGGGAAACAGGTTTCCAGTGACAAACTCCCTTTAAAACCATCGGGGGGAAAACAAGTAGCATCGTTTCAGCAAATGGAAGAACCAGATTTCCCCAGCGCCACTTTCGTCCCACCCAAAAAAAACCGGTCACTATGGGCTCCGGAGCTTTTGACGCATTTTGGAGAACCGGCGGGGCCCCGCCTGGGCAGGATCCACCCCGGGATGAAACTTGCGCACCGAGGCGTCCAGCGCAGCCCGGGGCGACGGCAGCTCCTCCCGAGCTCCGAGCGAGCGGAGAGCCGAAGGCGAAAAGCGGAGCAGCTGGAGTCTGTTTGTTTGTTGTTCTTTTCTTTGCCAGTGTTTTATCAAGTGTGTTCAAAATCGTTGTTGTGTTTATGTTGTGTTTGATATATATATATATAGCAAGCTTGTTGAACATGGGTTTTCCTTTTTAAATCAAGTTTGGCGAACATAGATGAGCAGTGTTTTTTTTGGTGGTTCGAGGCCTATATACACTACTTGCATGCCTACGCGAAGGCCTACGCAAACCTACGCGGCCTGCGAGGGGTGCCTACGCGAGCACAAGTCAGCTTCCAGGTGCCTACGCGAATGCCTACGCGGGCAAATGTTGAGTTCGAGTGTCGAAGTGCACTGTGGCAGCTCCAGCTGGAAAATCGCAACTTTTCAGTACAAGTGCAGTTTTGGCAACTCCGGCTCTAAGATCAGAATTGCAGTACAAGTGAGAAGCCCGCATCTGTCCAAGGATCTGGCTGCCAGAAAAGGTGTACGTACCCAAAATGCCTTGAAAGCCTACGCGAATGCCTACGCGGGGCCTACGCGGAGCCTACGCGAAGACTCCAGAACAAACAGAAGGAAGGCAAAAGAAGCAAATTCATTTATACTTGGCAAACAGCACTGAGTCATGATTTGTTCAACAAACGCCTACGCGAAAAGCCTACGCGAGGGGTGACACAACAGCCTACGCGCTGAAGCCTACGCGAGCCTACGCCCCCAACCAGGATTGCCTCCGCAAAGTACATGCCGTTCCCTTTTTGTATAAACCCTTTCATTTGATTAAAAAACGCTGCTCAGATGAGTTTCTAGGTCCAGAAATCTGGCAAGGAAAGCAAATAACAACGCGCAAACCATGTTTTAGGAACTAACCTTCGCCAGCCACTCAATGTCAATCTTGGCTACCATCATGTTGAGTAAGGGGCAAAGATATCAGATAGTCAAATTGTAAACAAAAGTTGACCCAGCTGGGCCCTCAAAACAAATCCCCCAACAACTGAAGCGAGCTACTGTGGTTGGACAAAATCCTGACCATGGTTGAAACCATTGTTTGGTATTTACAGGGGAATCACTCCCCCCCCACAACTGAAAAACCCTACTGTGGATGAACAAACTCCTGCACCACTTTGAAACCATGGTTGAAAGTTGAAACCACTGTTTGTTGGTATTTACAGGGAATCGAATCAGACATCAGGGCTTGCGCACTTCCGAACAGCGGCGTTAAATGGATTCCGGCCACCTGCACCCTCAAAATATCCTTGAAAAATGGCACATCACCCCATAGTTTTGAGGCAACTGCCTATTTTTAGGGGTAGTTTGAGGGCTATCCATACTGTGGATGGACGAAATCCTGCACCACTTTGAAACCATGGTACACCATTGTTTGTTGCTATTTACAGGGGAATCAAATCATTCCCGGGGTTCTCAACGATGGTGTAGGATTCCGTCCATTAACCGTAGCGTATTTTAGTGGGCATTGAGATGTTCACTGAAGTTTACGATTTGGATTTTGATCCAGGGCCTATATTTTTGAGGCAACTGCCTATTTTTATGGGTAGTTTGAGGGTCCGGGCCATAGGGACCTCGGCCCAGAGAGCCGCTGCCTTCTTCTCCTTGGAATCGCAGCGCTCGCGATGGCCGTGGCGGCGGTCGCTGGACTCCCGCGACATGTTCAGCACGGGCACGCTGAGGGAGTTGCCCACGGTCTTGGCCTGGAAGAATCGATTTGGCTTGGAACCCACCTAGGTCCTGCGGTAGAGAGGTTCGAATAAGAGTAGGCAAAAGGGCACTACTGCAAGACCTGGCCACTCAGGATGTACCCCATTTTCCAGTGGCAAAGAATCTAAGCCCCGGACAAAATATGGCCATGTTTTTTTTTGGGAATCACTAAGTTGCAAAGGGATCAGTCCACCAACCACTTTTGAGGTGGTTCCCCAATAAAATTCATGGCCATATTAGGATTCCGTGGACAACATATAGCCAGGAAATTGATTTGGGAACCACCTCAAAAGTGGTTGGTGAACAATGATGTCCCATTTTCAGGTTTGGGTCAGTGGCAGTTGAGAATCTAAGTTGGTGTCCACTACACCCAAGGCCAGACTCTCAAAAAAACGAACACGCGCCACTACGCAAAGGATATCTACCATGAAATTTATTAGGGAACCACCTCAAAAGTAGTTGGTGGACAATGATGTCCCACCAAAGTCTGATGTCCACCAAAGGGGCCCGATTAAATTGACATTCATACCCATCTAGGCTAAGGGAAAAACCCGACAAGGAAATACACATCTGCAATTTGCAGGATTGCAGTTGTCGTCTTGTGACGTGTGGCTGCCGTCGACAGCTCCACGATCGCCCGCTCGCATGGCTTCATCCCGTACTCGTAATCGTTGCTCTGGTTGAGGTGGCTGCTCCAAGAAGCGCAGGTTTGCAGCTGTCAAGGCTGGTCGAAGTTTTCGCGCAAAGGTAGCTATTCCGAGGTGTGCAGGCTTGCGGCTTTCAAGGTTGTTCCGAATAGCTTGCGCAAGAGAGGTAAAGGCTTGTGCTCCCTAAGAAGGCTCAAACGGCGAAACTTGTGCAATGGCAGTTCATTGCGGGAAGGGAGTGGGGTAACAGATCGCAGACGGGCGCCTCGCTGTTTTTTGCAATGCGTAAATGAGGCCACGCGAACGGATAGGTTGGTACATTCAATGTAACCCCCACTGGCCAGACAAACGTTGCGCTTCTTAAATCTCAAAGCGACTACAGCCTGTTTTTCCTGGAATCCTACCACGCTCAATTTTGGACGCTGGGAGGTTGTCAATTTAAAAGGGCACCGCTCCTTTTTGGGTGTCCTCGAAAACACACAAACCCATGTCTTGGGGCAACAAATTGTAGAACTGAGTAAAGAAAGTGCCATCGATCATGGAGGCTATTCAGCGTTGTCCGAGCCTAAACCACAATCCCAATCGGAAAACCACTACAATTCCTTTCTTCATCGATGGTAAGGATGAGGGATTGCCGGATTGCATTTGAATCGCCCAAACAACTCGGGAAATGATGGAAGCATCTCCTCAAAAAGACAGCTACATGGCACCCTTGCCTTCTCCTGCACGACGGGGAGCTGGAAGGACAGCGTCTTGGGCATCCCCCGCTCTTTGCCTCAGAACCCAAGTGGCCGTGGACGAAAAGAAAGGCACAAAAGGCTGAAACAAATATGGCTGCTCAATTTACCGGGAAACCCTGAACCCCCCGTCCCCCCCCCAAAAAAAAAACAAGAATACAAAAAACACCGGGAAGCACAAAAAAGGCACACAACCCTGAAACCGGGGAAGCCCCCCCCAACAAAAACAAACAATAAAACACGGGGGGGGGGGGGAGCAACCTTGGGAAACCCTGAAACCTGAAACCATGAAACCCTGAAACCCTTCCCCAAAAAAACTCGGGGAGAAGCAACCCCCTCCCCCCCCCCAAAAAAAAAAACACACACACACAAAACAAAAACAAAACCGGGGGGGGGGGGGGGAGCAACCTGGAAAACCCTGAAACCTGATACCATGATACCCTGAAACCCTGAAACCCTTCCCCCAAAAAAAAACGGGGAGAAGCAACCCCCCTCCCCCCCCCACCAAAAAAAAACAAAAAACAAGAAACACAAAGACAACAACAAAATGGGGGGGGAACCCTTCCCCCAAAAATCGGTGGGGAAACCGAAAACAAGTGCGCACAACCCTGAAACTCTTCTCCCCCTCCCCAAAAAGAAACGCGCGTTTCCGGCAACGGTCCGGGTTGCTTCCTGCGCGTGCTCGTGCGCGGCGATAGCTGCTGCCCACTCGCGCCATGGAGGCGGGGTTCGAGGGGAAGAGCACCCGCAGGATGCGCTCCACGGCCTGCGAATTGCCGCCCGCGTGGCCCGCGTGTTCCGGGCGCAGCTTTTGACCCCCCTCCCCCCCAATTTGCTTTTTGGTTGCTTTTTGGTTGCTTTTTGGTTGCTTTTTGGTTGCTTTTAGGTTATGATGCAAGGGTTAGGAATAGAAGGGTTCTAAGTACTTAGGTGGTTTACGGGAAATATTGGACGGTTTTCTTCTTACTAATCCATTCTGTTCACTGCAAATCATTAAAAATATTGACATTAAATCCTGAATTACTTCTTTCCCATTATTATTAGCTTTTTGTATTATTGTTGGCATATTTTCTAAAAAAAAAAAAAAGATTTATTAATAAGAACATATGATTGAACATAAAGAAAAATAAATATAAAGTAATAAAAGATGGATTCATAAGGTAAAGACCGGAATATTAAAGGAACAGACAAAGATAAGATAATAAATTAGAAAAACGAGGCCACAACTAGTCTGGGTCCTCCAGATTTGAGAGGTTCGAATTAGGGTACCCTATTTTTTCTTCGGTAGCCAATTTTGGCAGGGCAACCCTCCCCAATATCTGTTATATTTCACCAACCTGAAATAATGTTGCGGGCTATTCCCCACATAAACCACCATTTGGGGTGAAATCGTGTGAGGTCATTATAATTCACCTACAAATACCGGGCTGCCCTCAGCTCCCCTGCTAAAAGTTTAACTTTTAGTGGTAAACACTAAAAGGCTAAAAGCTAAGGGGGTGGCTGGAAGCCACCAAGAATAGTATCGTTGAATTTTGCCCACCACAAATTCAATCATGGGGCATGTCATTTTTTCCGAGGAGGCCGCCACGAACAAGGAGGCTGTCTTCCTGTTGGTTTCCCTTTGAACCCACCCTAAAAACGGTACCCCCACAAAAACCACAAAAAAAAAACACGATCCACCCATACTTGGTTGCTGTTGACCTCTCCTCAAAAGAGTGAGCTACGGACAATCCGAGCTGTTTCAACCAAAAAGCAACAGTGCAAACATATGTTCCCAACTAGCCGTACAGAAAAGGTTCCCCCAGTTCCATTGGTGCCTTCCAAAGGTGGGAAAACAAGAAAAATACATTCAGCTTCCCTATTTCCCAATCGTTGGTTTGGATTGCGGGGTTGGGCGGGGAAACTATTGGAGACCCCGCCCCAACCTGGGCTGCCAGTGGCGAACTGGTGGGTTAAGTACGGAAACCCAACCACTTTAAACCAACTCAAAAGCTGTAAGTTGAACCGGATGGCCGAGATCCCCCCACTCCCTCCCGCGTTTTCTGGCGCCGTCCGAAGCGGGCGAAGCGCGAAGCGCTCTCTCGCGGCCTCCTCGGTGATCTCCAGGTCGGTGGCCGGGCGCGAGAAGAGCACCGTGGCCACCCGGCGCAGCCGCTTCGGGCTGTCGGAGCTCCTCGAGGAATTCGGGAGAAAAGTCGCGGAGAGGTGGAGGTCAGGGGTTGGGGAGCAACGGAGAGGTCAGGGGTGGAGGGGTGGGAAGCAACGGGTGACACATGAAATATGACCCCTTAAAGCAAACTCAAAAGGGTATACCCGATGAATATATATATATATACCGCTGGCGGATGAATTGGGGGATGTCACATTCAGTGGTCGGGGTCGTCTTCCGACGCGGAGGTCTCCGGGCAGATCGATCCGAAGCAACGGGCTCCTGGAGCCTGTAGCAGTTCAACTCCATGTTGGACATCGTCGGCATTTAGGATAAGGGATACCAAAATAATGTGGACCCCAAAGAAAAATGAACCAACCCGGGGTGCTTTTCCCTGGGTGAAAATGGGAGGGGGGGGAATCAGACCACTTTTGGAGGGGCCAAAACCAACCCCCCTATGAATAAACTGGGCTCGATTAAAATTGGGTGAACAACTTATGAGAAATGTCACACCGGAGATGGAGAGGGGATGAAGGAATGGATCTGGGACAGTTGAGAGCTTCACCTGAAAAAATTGCCGAGAAATTGTCATATCACAAAAGAAGTAGATGGAGAGGGGATGAAGGAATTGATCTGGGACAATTAACAGAATCACCTGAAGAAGCTTCCGAGAACATATATCCTGAAGGAAATTGCTGGGACTCAAGCCCAAATTTCCTGCCTGCACTGATCAACCCCGAGGCCAGGAGACCAAAAGGGCATGGAACCGTTTCAGGTTGGGCGATTCAACTCGTTGAAACCACGTGGTTTCCACAGCCTCCTTTTGGTTTTCCTAAAAAAAAACAAAACATGGAAAAACCTCCATTTGGTTTCCCTCGGACTGGAGCCTTGAGGCTTTTTTGACTCAAGACCTGTTTGGGGGGGGCCGATTTGATTTGGTGAAAGGGCAGGAACAGCCTAAAACGGGGCCCAGCCCGGAACCGCTAACCCCATGGAATCATCCCCTTGAACTGAAGATCCAACCAAATGGCCGTAACCAAATCACCCCCTATTTGGGTGTTCGGCCATGGTAAGTGGTAAGAATCACCTAGCTTACAACCTACTTACCAGGCTAAGTCCAGTTGGGGGACAGAGGCAATCTAGCGGATGCCCATCACTTATTGGCCGAACACCCAAGTAGAACTATGACAAGCCTCACGGACCGCTCGTCGGCTGCAACCCGGATGCGAGTACCGCAGCCACCCCGCTGGGGTCATGGGGTACTGTTAGCTCGCATTATGGTTTCTCTTGGTGACACATACCTGGACCAACCAAGGGCACTTTTTTTGCGACTGTCTGCAAAAATCCATGCATTTCCTTAAAATCCATACTTTTTTCTACAAGAATCTCACATTCAGCTTTGGCCGGCACTGGAGATTGTCATGCTCACGCCATTGGAAGGTGTGCAATTCACCAAGGACAAAAGGTGCGCATTTCCCCAAGCAAATGTTCCGCTGATTTCCGTACTTTTTCCGCAAATTTCCGTACTTTTCCCGCCGATTTCCGTGCATTTCCCGCCGATTTATGTTAATTTCCGGTTTTTGTATTTTGGCTGAGAAAACTGCAAACTCGCAAAAGCGACAAGGAAGCTGTCACACATTGCCCCTCAGCAATTGGAGACGAATGACCTGAAACGGAATTAAGTATGACGGGCCATGTAAATTGCAAACTGTGTTCATGTGCATCCAAGTGCACCACAAACGCTCACAGCCTGCTAAAAGCGATTTCCGTCAAACTTCCTCAAAGTGTACATTGACGCTTTTGTTATTTGTGTACGGAAATTTCAGTACTTTTGGAGGGTTCAGGTATATTGTTTTGGTCAAAGCCCTGTAACATATTTAACACACTATTCCTACATGATGCTTGTTTTTTTCCCGCTCGGCACCAAGTTGAGATTGAACAAGTATCTGATGAGACTAGATGTAAACTTATTGGGTACATCTCATTTCAAGGCTCACCCCCCGAAAACTCTCATAGGTATTTAAATCGTCAAAATGAGCCTGCAGCTTCATTGAATGGCTCCCACGGCTCCAAACCACATAGTACATGATCTTCCCTCCTCTACTCCCCCCCCCCTGCAGGCCCCAAACCTCCAAAGTCCCCAATAAGCCCAAAGCCCCAAAGCCCCGAAGCCCCAAAAGCCCCAAAAGCCCCCAATAAGCGCCCAATAAGCCCCCAATAAGCGCCCAATAAGCCCCCAATAAGCCCCCAATAAGCCCAAAGCCTTAAACCCCCAAAGCGCCCCCGAAGCCCCGAAGCCCCGAAGCTCCTTTCGTCCTCCTGGTTGGAATTCGTCCTCTTCGCCTCGGCCTCCTTCGCACGCGCCAAGGCCTGGCACTAAAACCGGGGACCCCATGGGCTCCCTCGGGCCCAAAGCGACTCGACCTGTTCAACTTGTGCTTCCCGTGTGATCCAACTTGCTTCTCCCATTGGCCCTTCACCTTCTGGGGGAACCCCCCACATACCCAGATCCCTGCGAATCGAAGTTTTCACCTTTTGGTCTTCCGGTGTTGGTCCAGGTGTGGGTTGAACTTGCTCCCATGTGGGGTTGTGTGGGGCAGTCTCCGGAACGGAGCTGCTCCGCGAGCGGCGACAAGGATCCGCTCGCCAGTCGAAGTCATGGCCCCAAAAAGTTAATATCTTTTTCGTTTGGGTCCCGGCAACTCAGTATATAGGTCTAGGGGTAGCTTCTCCATTCTTTCCAGGAATCCTTCTTTCTGGAAAACCACCGAAAACCCTGAGAAATGGCAGGTTCTTGAAAAGAACGATGGCTGAAACGAATGGGGAATCAACCTGCAGATGCGCTTGAGGTTCTCTTCAAATCCGACAATGTCGCGCCCTGTCTTCGCCATGGATTTGGGTGCTTCCCCAAGGATACACGCCTACCAATGGACATTCTGAAGCTCCTGGAAATCCATGGGTCTGACTTCCATCGGAACTGGAGATGAGGGAATCTTCACTGATAGCCTGAGGAAGCACAGGGTGCCACTAGATTTCGGAATTCCCCCTCTCCGTTGGAGAAGGGGCATGAGACCAAAGTGGGTGGGAATTATTCCTTGTGCCTGCTTGATGTAGGTCCTTGACTTGATGCATTTTTTGTTTTGGGTTGTGGAATTATCATGTGCAGAACGTTCACAACTTTCACCCAACTTCAAATGTAAGCAGAGCCTTCCTGGCTTTCACAGACTCCGTTGAACAGCTCCAAGCTTTGTTGGTTCCACGTTCCACGTTCGACATGTTCCACTCCTAAGATGAGGGTGTTCCCCCAAAAGGTGCAGAGTCTGTTCAATGGAAGAAAAACAAGCTGGACCACAAGTTGGCTACGTACTCCCCACACGATGAAGCAGGTGTCCTGCTCTGATATGGCTCGAAATGGAAGAACCAACATCCACCTTGTTGATGGATTAATGAGTGTTGCCGCGTGACGGGGTCGTTCCCTTTGGTTGTTCAACAGTTCACCCAGGGCTGACCCATTTTGAGACAAACCCAAAGAAACAGCGTGACACATCATGTAACCAACAACCATTGCTTCTGAAAACCAACTTAGGCAACATCAGTGGAACCATCTCTCGGTGCCTGAACAGGTCAGCGGAATGAAACTTAGCCAACAGCCTTGGACGGATTTGACACAAACCCGCCATGTTAGAATTCATGTTTCGCGTAACGGCAGGTGTGCACCTCGTTGTCGGGCCGGGTGAAGCGCGTAAAGCAGGCCTTCTCCTGAACTGGAAAGTGTGGGAACCAAACAAATATGGCGCTGCTGGGAACGTAAAACGAAAAGACAAACAACAAAAAATCAAAACGGCAACAATGTAGGTGTGCGCGCTCTGGGTAAAATACACAAGTCACCACCCACAAAAACACACCGTTGTTCACATTGCGTCTTGTGAGCCTCGCAAAAACCAGTGTTAGGGTTGGGCAAACACAAACAAAGCACACAAGACGCAAGCCAAGGATCAGGATTGGACTGTCGCTGGATCCGATTCAAGCATTGCAAAGCTTGCGTGCTTGAAAAGGTTTCTGCACCAGGGTCAAACTGTACAGCGGAGCGGAGTCCAAAGATGGTGTCTACAGTTGTATCCAAGGTGCCTCTGAACCAAACCTGCACTGGCACGCACAAATTCTTACAAACACAGAAAGGGAATCAGGAACATTCACTTGGTTGCTGGCGAGACCCCTCTGCAACAAGTGATTCACTTTGGTGGGACGGAAAATCAAAGAGTTAAAAACCAAACATCCAACCAACCCCCCACCCACGCACCCACCCACCCACCCACCCACCCACCCAGCCAGCCAGCCAGCCAGCCAGCCAGCCAGCCAGCCAGCCAGCCAGCCAGCCAGCCAGCTACCCACACTACTCACACCCACAATGTTACAAACACTGCAAAATTAATCGGGGTCAATCAATGCCCCCCAGTCCTTGTTGCTGAGCCCGTAAAGCTTCCGGCGTCTCCTCTCCTCCCGCTCCAGCTCATCCTCACCGCGACCCATGCTAAAACCGTGGGAGGAAGGGTTGATATTGCCTTTTGCAAAACACCAGAAACATGTAAGCCTATCCACAGGGGTTGGTGCGTTAGTACCCTTTGCGGTCCTTTCAAAGTAAAACCGTAGAGAAAGAAAGTCGGGAAGCTCAAAGTAAAGGAACCCTTCTCCCCAAAAACATCCTGGCGTCAGCTCGGGGCCGGCAAAAAGCCTGGGTAGCCTAGGTCCCTACCTGGTTGCCATTGGAAAAACCAACAAGGACGGAAGTGAACGGGGAACTGAAACCCACGTTGAGAGTTCCCCAGATTCCAAACAAACCCATAGATCCAATCCTAACCAACTCGGCACATTGATCTTGCCAAGCGCGGCCGGCTGAGAATGATGTCAACGAATCTGCGCCATAGAAACCTGGCTGTGTCATCAACAGCTCCGCCACGTGTGATGTGCGTGAGGCCTCTAAAGAACCGCCCATAAGATACGTCTTACGCTTTGGGAGTGTGGTGCACCTTTAGCGAACCTGTGAAATGACGTCAAGACGGTTCTCTTAAAAAGGGGGTGCCTTTCGAATCCAGGAACTTACGGTGTGAGTCCCCCTGTGAAATCAAACACCGGGTTGAAGCCAACGGCTGCCATCTCTTTTTGGAGGCTACCCGTCTTTCCGGGACGCCAAAAAAAAACAAGCATTTTTTAGTGTCCCCCTACTTTGAGACAACCCCATTTGACAGGTTGGAAGGTTCCAAAGTCCCTGACTCCCTCGACTGACGTAGCGGCTGACAGGAGGAACCAGCAAAAGTACTGAGTGACACGCTCACAATCCAGGGTCATTTCCAATGGTTATCATTCTGTTGCCAGGGCTCCGATGTACATCCGTGAACCAGGAGTGCAGGTGCTCTTTTGCGCTGACTTGAAAGACGCAAAGCATCTCTGTGCATTGGTTGTTGCCGAGGAGCTTCATGTCGGTGTTCAGGTGGTCACTATGTAACGATCAGGACCACCAAACCCATGACCATGTTTTTAGTTGTTTGTTTCTCCCATTTTGCAAACCTGCTTGTAGGGTAACGCTCCACAGGATCGCTCCAAAGTCTCTGGCAAACGGAAGCCAAAGAACAACCAACCGATTTTCCACCCACAAGGTAGCTGGTGCTTGCGCAACTGTCAGCACAAAGCACATCCACGCGGTTTAATTTAGTTCAGGAAAAATCGGACAAACGACATTGCCGTGCATTTACACCTACGTTGCGCAAGGCTTAAACTATGTGCATTGCGATATCCAACAACATGATATCGAAACTTCCCTGGTTCGACCCATCAACATCTTCAGTACTTCCAAACCCTCGAGCTTCCCTAGTAAAAGGCCGTTGCGGTGGTACTTGCGGTCCAGAAGACAGATCTGACGCTAATGTTGTTCACCGCTAGTTAAAAGGACACCATCACTTTCTGTCTGCATTTGGGTGTGTCTTTGTTTAGGGGTCCAACAAAAACAAGTGGTTGTCCTTTTGGTTTTCCTTTCAAAACCAAAAGGGGTACCCTCAAAACATGACACACCCAATTAAATGGCTCTGGGGTCACACATCAATTCCTGCACTTGGATGTCACTTAAATCTAACAACCTCACATCTGTCAGGTGGGGCCCACATGATTTGGCTTCCTTTTGTTTTCGAGGCGTCCAAACAGCAGCCTCAACAAAGGGCACATCCTACCAGGCTTCCCGGGATATAGCCTCCCTAGGGCTCAACCCCCACGAAAAAGAATGGCAACCCAATTTGGATGATCACCATCCTTAGGCCATGTAATGGTTTATACATACATATATATATATATCTATAGCCGGACTTGTTGTGGTCTCCACGGCACGGCGCGAGCAGTATTGGTGGTACCTGGGGATACATACATATATATGATATGTATATATAATATATATAGCCCCCTTTGTTTTAATGCTGGCCACTGAACCCCGAATGCCCAGTCGAAAGTGACGTCCAATCCGCCCGTCTTGGTCGCTCCTGGTCCACCTGGCTGGGCCCGCCCTCGCGCGCGCGGCCACGAAGCTCCTCCAAGTTGATCTCCTCGCCGCGGCAAGCGAAGCCGAGGCGTGGGGCGGGTAGATGGCCCATGGTGGGCAGAAACATCCATGGTAACCCTAAAATGGGGTGCTGTAAAAAGGCTGTGGTTGTCAGACAAAGGTTGCTCTTTTTTCTCGACAAAACAAAATCCGTCACCAAACTGGGGTGCACTAGATGGAGTGGACGAACAACTGCCGGGGAAGTGGCTGTGGAGGTCAGAAAAATCGATGGCAAATGGAGTGGACCGAAAATTATGCGCTCCAATTCCTGGTCGTGCAAATTTTGACCCTTACCCAAATCCAGGGATGCCCGAAAGAATCCGCAGAAGGCCCAAGGAACCTTGAGGCCAAAGGGAAGCCGAGTCAGTGAGCAGGCCGTAAAATCGGGTGGCACACACCGCTTGGCAGCTTTTGCTCACTTCCTATTGCCCGAAAAGGGTAATCAACTTTTGGTCTACCAACAGGGAAGCATCAGTCTGCAAGCCCAAGGAACTCTCTAAGCCTAGAGAAGCCAAATGATTCCGCGATTGCTTGTACCCCCCCACAACCCTGCGACTAAGAGAGAGAGAGAGTCCCCATGTCAATTGGAATTTGGATCATGTTTTGGGGTTCGGAAGTACGCCCTCAGCAAGTCTTCATTTAGGCAGGCTCAACATTAGGGGAAAATGATCCAACGGGAGCCCTTGCCGATGGAACCTGAGGGAAGGTTCCTGGTTTGGACTGGGCAAACTGCTACCTATGCTGGGAAGACGGAGAAACCCAGTCGGTATGCCACTTGTTTTTTTAGGAAAAAGGCTTTGGAAGAAAAACAAACCGCAGAGGGAGCTCCCTATTTTGGACGATGCAGGTAGACATGGAGTGTGTTTGCATTAGTCAACGCACTTAAGAGTTTGGCAAACTCTGTGAACAAGAATTGCACCGGTTGCCGCTGTACACAACCGGAAAGGACCAGGTGTTGTTGCCTGTATGTCTCACATGGTTGCCCTTGGCTATCTACTTCAGTAGACATACTATAAAATGCCACATCATATTTGAACCCACTATGCTTGCATGGGGCAACTGGTTTAATCGTATCCCAAGATCAAAATCGAATTGGGCGTGTTGTTTTTGCGGGTACCCCCTTTGTTGTTTTGTTCTTTTTAAGGGTGGGTCTCCTTAAAGAAGACAGACCCAATTCTGCAGCCTCTTTAGCAGCTGCCTTTACTCGGAGCCTTGGAAGACTGCGCAGCAACCTTCTCGGGGTGTACCGCAAACGGCTTACTCACATTTGGGTGTGTCCTTGTTAAGGTTGGACCCCCAAAAAGGTGGTTGTCCTTTTGGCTTCCCTTCAAAACCAACAAAAACAGGGGTACCCCTAAAGAAAAAAACACACCCGTTTGGGATATGTTAGTACACATGAGCATACGTGCAACCCCACTTTTGTGAAATAGAAAGGACCTCAAGCAATTTGGCGTCCCTCTTGGTGCCCCACATTCCCTCCAGGTCCCCATACTCTTGGAACCCTCAAAGCCAGCTCAAGTTTCACACCCAAATGGCTGTGGCTCAAAATTAAAGGTTTGGGGTTACGCAGGTTTTAGTCTTTGGTTCCACATATCCCTGGGTATATCAAGGTCCGATGTTGGCACATGTTCTTGAGCCACACCCAAATCACTCTGAGGAACCCCTTGGCCCTTGCGCGCCATGATCGTCGTCCTTGAGCTTGGACACCCGTCGCAGGCTAAAGAAGTTCCCCTTCCGGTCCTAGCAAATCGGGGGCGAAGCGAGCCAGTGTGAGCAAAGCTGTTGGAAGTCAATAGGTAGGCTGCCACAAACCCAAAAAAAACGTAAACATACACACCCACGCACGTATGCCCTCACCCGCACATGCACGCACACACGCACAGACGCACACACACCCACACGTGTGGTATAATGCGTGTTCACCGTGAATTTCAGCAACTAACCCGGAACAAATAGGGGACACTCCGATGGGAGGAGCTTTAATGACGGGGTACATCAACCGGTTGACAACCAAATTTGCCCAGCAGTCGCCTTTGGCTAATTTTCCATCTGATTCCAAACCCAAGCTGATAACTGTGTCTCCGTTGTTTGCACAACCAGGCAAACTGGGCTCATGTGATCCAGGAAGACAGCCATGCGTGTTGAGCAACAACAAAACAATCCAAAACAACTATGCGTGTTGGCTTTGTCTCTTTGCCTGTTTGTCGGTCGGCCTTCTCCTTCCATCCGTCTGTTTGTCAGTTCTCCTCACCCGCGCCAAACCCCAGGCTCAAAAAAAAGAACACAGGTGCCAAAACGAGAAGGCAAATTATTGGCCGCTGGCTTTTTGGGAAAGCATGGGAAACCAAAAGGAGCCAATCACAACCATGTTCGACCATCGTTTGGTCTTCAAGTTCGGAGCATCCCTGAAGAACCCTCCTCTGCACGCTCAGCCGCGGTGGAGGCATGCAGATCCGGAAGGGACTTGGACATCTCACCGCTTCGTCAGTGACGCCATGCCGAGTACGAGTTCGACGGCCGCAATTCCTATGCTGATCCGGTCAGGCAGAGTCCCATAATCACGCTAAGATGACGTCATAACTATCCCAGTGGATCCATTTCATTTACCTGTATAAAGTCCACTGAATATGTAATTGCCATGTCAATGTTTGTGCAGGCCTAAGTATCTTTCTTCAGACTCAATGAGTGAATGCGATGCTTTTCCTGGCTTCGCGCTTGACATATTGCAATGTGCGTGAGTGCGCTGTCCAGTTGTTGTTTGCTTATTCACAACACCAATTTCGCAACAACGGTCTCCGAGCCAAGTTCGCAGCACAGGGCCTCCATGATCCTTCAAGGCTGACAGCTTCTGGATACGGGGGGGGATCATCATTGTGGGTTCCTCAACGAACACATTTTGATTTCTCACAATGACTTTGGAGCGGGGAGTGGTCTCCCGTTAATCCACATCTCGAGGGTAACTATGATATCACTTTCATGAACCCGTACACCGCAGCATTGCACGACTTGAGAGAATAATTATCTTAATTGCCATCAGGGCTCGTCTCAAACTCAGCGGACGGTGTTGTTTAGGTGTCCTGCCATCAAAGGCAACGCTCGCGTAGCACAGACTGAAATGAACCAATGTCCATCGTTTCCACAAGTGACATGGGGATGCAACTATCATCCCAGATCATTGTGAGTATAGTTCAAGTTCAATTGTGACCCATGTCATATTATCTCACAAAATGTTCAAAGTAAATACTGACTGCTAAACAAAGTAAATGCTGACTATTGCTTTGATGAACATGGCTGGACAGCTAGAGCTGACAATTCGGAGAGACTGACTCCGCAGGCATATCACAGGCGGCTGCACGAGTTGCCACTGGGAAAGCCACATGACAAACTGTTGAAAACAGTGATTCAATCGGCTGACGAACAAACTTGCTGGTGCTCAATAGGCAATGATCCCGGATCTCGGAATGAACTTGGGGCTTCCCATAAAGGAAACTATTAGGGGATGGCTTATCTCGCGGTCATTCCATCTCTCAATCCCTATCGAACCAACAAGCAAAACCAACATGACATCAGCCACGCAGAAGGGCCCGGGACTTGGGCATATATAGGTTTTACATGGTTTTACCTTAGGGTGAACATCAGTGACAATTGTTTCTGTCCACCAAGTATCTGGGAGCTTAACCTATCCATCTGTGCTAGACCATCACGCCCATGCAAAAGCCCGTGGGGGTCCAACCCTTAACATCAGGCTTAACATTCATGGCCAGAATTTGTGGGGTCATCATTTGGTGTGGCTCCCGAATCCCGAACCCACCGCGAACAAAAAGGCATTTAGAGGGGCGCCACATTGCAACATATTACAACATGCATACTAAGGACCCTTCATGAGTGAGCTTGTTCTACCCAACATGATCATCTCGTTCAACTTTGGCCCAACTCAATCCATTTGCGTGGCGTCCCCCACTTCGATGTTTAGATTCATCCCGCAGACCATCCCAGTATCTCGAAGGGGTGCACCTCTCCAGGGCGGCGATACTCTCCTGAGGTGAGGTTTCAGGATTGAAGGTGCGGGAAGCTTTTTTTGGAGGCGGCTATCAAGGGAAAAGCAAGTAAAAAAAAACAAAGGGAGAGCCGATTTGGCTTCTCAAAAAAATAGTTTTGGGGGAAAGCAAGTAGAAAACCGAAGAGGGCGGCGATTGTGGAGTTGGTACCCTCCCTCCACCAGAAGCTCTCAAGCAATCCCCTCCACGCTTTCATGGGTTTAGAGGGTACCCTTCTTGGCAGCGGCTTCGGGAGACAGAAAGCGAAGCCGCCGCGCTCTACAACGACACTCGGCGAGGTAAGGGGGATAAAGGGGAGGGCGGGGGGGCAACCCGAA